CTTAGCATTCAAAGCGTTTTCTCTGGGGTTCTGCCTGAAGGGCTGGCTGTGATGACAGGGGGAGCACAGCACAGAGGGTTGCAGTGAGGGAGATGGTCCCAGACTGACAGGGTTTGGATCTTAACTCTACCACTGACCTATAGTGTGAACTTGAGCAAATTATTTCACCTCCCCTTCCCTCAGTTTATGTATCAATAAATGGAAATGAATAATAACCCTTACTTCATAGGGATGTGAATAATAATTAAAGGCTCTTTCCCTTTGTCTGCCACAGCTGAGACAGTTATGGGTCCTTCCTTACCTAAGAAGGGCCTGTGCTTAATTGGAATTCTATCAACTTGCCCTCCCTCCTCAGATCCCTAATTCATTCGAGAACACATATGATCTTGGAGTTTATCCAGTCTTGTCTTACCATTAGGGTGGTAGCAATGATGTTTCCAGCTTTATAAGTCCTAACTATAAGCAGAACTGCGATGGCCTTTTCTTTATTTAGATATGCATCATCATAAGTGCTTAAGCAGAAATTACTTAGACAAGTTTCTGGTGTGTGGTATGCACTTTGAGATGTTATATTAAGGAAATGACGGTCTAGCATAGTGCCTCATGCACGTAAAAATGTTTGTAGAAAATATAGGGCGGCCATAAAGTTCATGTACAATTTAAAATCACACACAAATTTTATGGCCTCCCTGTAATTAGTAGAATAATTTTTTCCCTTAAGGTTCTAGGTCTAGTACCTTACCTCATAAGACTCATTCTCATGAGACAATGGAAAGAAAATTCAAAGTTTCCATGATGTTCTACAGCAGAAATTCCAAGTTTTTATGATGTACCTTTTTCCCTACAAAAGGTCTCTTATTAAATCCCTTCATTCAGTAAATCTCACCTAAAGATGACAGATTGTTTTTTTTTTTTGTTTGTTTGTTTGTTTTGACAGATTGTTCTCCTACCCAGTCCCACACAGTCCACATAACTATGTTTGCTTTTCCAATATCCCTCATCATATTCCCCATTTATGTTGAACAGAAGTGGAGATAGTAGACCGTCTTTTCTGGTTCCTATTCTAAGCAGGAATACTTTCAATTTTTCCCCATTCAGTATGATGTTGGCTGTAGCTTTGTCATATATGGCCTTTCTAATTTTGAGGTGAGTCCCATCTGTGCCTATTTTGCTAAGTGTTCTTATCATAAAAGTGTGCTGAATTTTGTCAAATGCTTTTTCTGTGTCTATTAAAAGGGTCATATGGTCTTTGTTTTGACAGCCATGTGGTGGATTAAGTTGGCAGATTTGTGTATGTTGAACCATCCTTGCGTCACTGGGATGGAGCCCAGTTGGTCATGATAAATTATTTTTTTGATTTTACATCTTTTGGATTAGCTTAGATGGAGTTGAAGAACATTCTCCTTAGTAAAATATCACAGGAATGGAAAAACAAGTATGCAGTATACTCAATGCCAACATGAAACCAGTAGATGAGCAACTGCACACCCGCAGGACAGAAAAACATAATTTAATCCAAGTAGGGTGAGGGAGTAGGATGGAAGGGTAGGGGAAGGAGGGAAGGGACCAGGCAAGCTCTCACTTAACAGGCACAATGTCGGTATATGGCACACCTTCTGGGTGAAACACTTCCTGGGTGAAGGGCTGAATACAACTTAGACTTTATCTAACAAACACAATGTAGCCTAATCATCTATATCCTCACAATTAATCTGAAATTGTATATATATATATTTATATACTAAATAAATGTGTAATTTAAAAATACCTTATGGTTATTTTATGCTATTTTAAACTGATGCCAATTTACATTTATCACACAGAAAAGAAAGAAAATAAACATACACAAAGAAAGTAAGACACTCTACACTTTAAGTCTATCCCCCACATTCTGACTTTTTGTTGCCTCAACTTCTATCTTTTTATGATGTCTGTATGTCAATAATTATTGTAGTTATTTTTGATAAATTTATCATTTATTCATCATGCTAAAAGTACACAGTATCTACAATTACAGTAGCAGAGTATTATAAATTTGTCTGTGTATTTATTTTATCAGTGAGTTTTATTCCTTCAGATGATTTCTCCATGGACCTCAGAGTCCTTTTCTTTCAGATTGAAGAAATCTCTTTCATTTCTTGGGAAATAGGTCTAATGGTGATCAATGCCCTAAGCTTGTGTGTCTGGTAGTGTCTTCCTTTTTCCGGCATGTCTTAAAACTATCTTTTAAAGATAGTTTTGTTGGGTAAAGAATTATCAACTGGAAGTTTTTTTTTTTCAGCACTTTTAATAGGTTGTCTCACTCCCTTCTGCCCTGTGAGGTCTGCACTGACAAGATGGCTGCCTGATATATCAAAGCCCCTTGCTCCTTTTCTCTGAATGCTTTTATGATCCTCTCTTTGCTCTAAAATTGTGAGAGTCTGATTATTATATGCCTTAAGATTGTTCAATTCAGATTGAATGTGCGTGGTGAGTTTTGACTTTCTTGTCCCTGAATATTCATATTTTTCTCTAGGCTTGGAAAGTTATATATGACTATTCTTTTAAGTGCATTTTCTCCCCATATCTCTTTCTCTACTCTCTCTGTAGGTCAGGAACTAAGATTTGCCCTTTGAGGCTGTCTTTTGAGTAGTCTTCATTGTTTTTCATTCTTTCTCCTTTACTCTGTGTTGACTGTGTATTTTTAAACAGTCTCTATTTTACCTCACTATTTCTTTCTTCTCTTTGATAACTTTGTTTTCATAAACTCTGATGCCCTTTTCCATTTTTCAAGTGTATTTTTAAGCTCCAGGACTTTTCCTTGACTTTTTATAAGTTATTTCAAAAATGTGTTAAGTGTCTCTTGTAAATCTCCCAGTTGCTTCTCTCTCTCTCTCTTTCTTCTTCTGAAGTTCCTTGAGCGTCCTCAAACCTGCTATTTCAAATTCTTTACCTACGGTCACATATCTTTATCAGTCCAGAGTTGGTCACTGGCATCTTATTTTATTCTTTAGGGGAGGTCATATTTTCCCTCACTGTTCTTACACCTAGTTATCAGGTGATAAAGGTGGCTGGGATTTGGGTTCATCCTCTTAGGGTGGCAAATTTAATGGTGGCCTGGGGTTGATCTAGAACTGCTCTGCAGGGACAACGGCCTCAACCTTTGCACTACAGATATTTGTGCTATGAGGTGCTATCCTCTTGTGGGCCTTGACCTGGGTTTGGAGTCAACAGGGGAGACAACTGGGGGAAATAATGAGACTTTACACCAACTTAATGCCAGAAGTCTGGAAGTCGAGAGAGGGGCAGACATTGACTAGAATCCCATGTGGCAGACTGAGATAACGGAGCAGTTTTCTGAGTTCTCAGAAACCTTTTATTGATCTCTAAGACAGAGCATATGTGCAAAATGTCAAAGTGTCAAATGGGATTGAAAGAGTCCCAATCCTGCAGGAAGACTGGGTAAAGAGGAAAGGGCTGCATAGAAAGGGGGAGGGGAAAACAAGTTTCATTGCCCTAGGGCAAGCAAGCCAGCCTCCCTACTCTAACCACTCGCCCATACTTCCCACTAACCCTCTCCCCCCCTCCCCCACCATATTCAATTCCCACAAGGATAGTTTTAGCGACTTTGCCCTGGCTGGGCACCTCTGGGCTCATTTCATCCTCAGTGGTCTTGATGAGCCCCCAGGTTTGATGCACGCCCTGGATG